AATAAATTTGATCGGTTTTTAAATTCGATATATTTACCGAAAATAAGACATATTTGGATTTTGGCTATTATCCCAAATGAAGTAAAAATCCAAACGTAATAATGTCATCATTCAAAACGAAAAGTTTGGGTCGAAATCCTACTTTTCGCCTTGTTCTGATATCAAATCTTCAATAGTAGTTCTTTTATCACGAAACCATCCTAAATGATCTGCTATTAAATGATTGTTCTTGCATGAAGAACATTGGATTATAACCACACCATGATTATATGCTTGTTTCGACATGGTCTTTGTTGAACGATGTGAACAAACTTTACATGTAAAGGCTATCATAAGACGGCCAGCAGTGTGGGTGAAGCGAGAACTTTCGCCTGGATGAAAGCTATAGTTGTTAGACGAAACTATTTTATGACGAAGGACAAAGACGAAATCTAACCTGAAAGACGAGAATGACGAAACTCCTGCGAAAGACGAAACTCCTTGTGGAAGTTGAAACTCCCAACGAAACCTTTGCGTAAGAAGAAACTCCTCGGTGAAAAGAAACTCCTCGATGAAAAGATGAACATCAATGAACACGAATTATAAGAGATAAGTGATCGGTAGAGATGCTGAAATTCAGATGATGCGAATCTAAATTTGATCCGGTGTGACAAATGTAAAAATCGCATCACGTCGAGTACTATTAATTTTTTCGGCCTGCCCCTAAACACATTGCAAAAAAATGTCTTTTGCCAATATAGCACAGCCTTTATCAGGGTTTCGTCTTTCTTTTTCTGGAGGTTTTCTTTCACTAGGGGCTTCTCCTTTCTCCGGGGGACTCTCTTTTCGCCAGGGCTTCGTCCCTTCACCACAAGGTTTCGATTTTAGTCTTTCATTGGCTTTAAATTTCGCCTCTCGCCGTTTAAGTGAAATGGTTTCACCCAACAACCATAGTAACGTTATAACAGATAATATAGTAAACGATAAGCTGAGTTCAAGCGATCGACATTCCACGCGTAAA